TAGATCTGGTGTCACAGTAGCTTGGATTTAAAAAAACAAAACTCTTTTTTCACTGTTATAGATTGAATAGCAGTCAGTGTCCTTAAAGCGGGTGTGTTACGCTAACAGTGGATACGGTGACCAGTGCCACCACTTAGATCTGGTGTCACAATAGCTTGGATTTAAAAAAACAAAACACTTTTCACTGTTATAGATTGAATAGCAGTCAGTGTCCTTAAAGCGGGTGTGTTACGCTAACAGTGGATACGCTGACAAGTGCCACTAATTAGATCCTGTGTCACAATAGCTTGGATTTAAAAACAAAAAACTTTTTTTACTGTTATAGATTGAATAGCAGTCAGTGTCCTTAAAGCGGGTGTGTTACGCTAACAGTGGATACGCTGACCAGTGCCACTAATTAGATCTGCTGTCACAATAGTTTGGATTTAAAAAAAAAATAATCTTTTTTCACTGTTATAGATTGAATAGCAGTCAGTGTCCTTAAAGCGGGTGTGTTACGCTAACAGTGGATACGGTGACAGTGCCACCACTTAGATCTGGTGTCACAATAGCTTGGATTAAAAACAAAAAACTTTTTTTACTGTTATAGATTGAATAGCAGTCAGTGTCCTTAAAGCGGGTGTGTTACGCTAACAGTGGATACGCTGACAAGTGCCACTAATTAGATCTGGTGTCACAATAGCTTGGATTTAAAAAAACAAAAAACTTTTTTCACTGTTATAGATTGAATAGCAGTTAGTTATCTTCAAGCGGGTGTCAGGCCTACAGCCTGTGCTCTGCACAACTGTGCCAGTGCACATTGCCACTCATATCTGGTCTCACAGTAGCTTGCACGCATAATACCACTAATCCCAACAAAATGACAGGCAGAGGCAGGCCACCCCGCAGGGGCCATCGTGGTCGTGGTGCTGTGATTCCCTTTGGCCCTAGAATAATGCCCAGTTTTCAGAGGCCACGTACCCTGAACTTGAAAAGTTCTGAGGACATAGTTGACTGGCTAACACAGGACACCCAATCTTCTACTGCCTCCGCTCAGAACCTTGACTGTCAGGGTACCTGTTGGTGATGTATCCAGGGAGGACATCCTCTCTGCTTAGGGGCTCCCTTCCCCTAGCATTTCGGCATATTTCGGCCGTTTTCGCGCCGGCCGCGCTAGCTCCTCCCCCTTTTATGACGCGGCGGCTAGCGTCGACGTCATGACGTCGGCATTTGCATAAAGTGCCGGGAACCGCTATTCCGGACCTTTTGGGGGCGTGGTCTCTATTTAGGTACAGGGTATTTAAAGGAAACCTTTACTACTGCTCATTGCCCTGTCGTGGTTCTAGCTTGCTAGTCACTCAGCGCGTTCTTTATCTAGTGTTTCCGGTTTTGACCCTTGCTTGTCTTTTGTCCTGTTGTCCTCTCCTCTCCTTTGACTCGGCTTGTATCTCGCTTACCTGTCCTCCGGCTCCCTTGACCTCGGCTTACCTTTTGACTATTCTTGCTTTGTCCTTACGTTAGTCCGGCCATTCTAAGGTCCGGTATACGTACCTCCTTCTGTGCGCACTCTGCGTATTGGATCCCTGTCAGTTTCCTGACATTACGACAGGGCCATGATGGATCCTGCAGGTGCTAGTCCTCCTGACCCCAGATTTGAGGCCATGGACCATAGAATGGACCAAATGGCTTTAGCGTTACAAACTTTGTTGACACGCTCCAGTACCCAGTCTGAAGAAATACGTTCCACTGCTAGCCACTCGCTAAGTACTGGTTTGGAAGTAGCCACTGTAGGCGCATCTTCCCATGTCACGTCACCATTACGATATGGGGGTTCGCCTGATGCTTGTCGTGGTTTTTTAAACCAGATAAGTATACATTTCGAACTACAACCCCGGGCTTACCCCACTGACAGGGCTAAGGTAGGCTTTATTATAACCCTGCTAATAGATAAAGCACTTAGATGGGCCAATCCCCTTTGGGAGAATGACAATCCTTTAGTCTACAACTACACTGCGTTTGTCACGGCTTTTAGAAGAACCTTTGACCCCCCAGGGAGGAAGATTAATGCGGCCAGATCCCTGTTACGCCTTAAACAACAAGATAGGACCCTTGTAGAATATGCTCTAGAGTTTAGATCATTGGCAGCAGAAGTGAAATGGAACGAACAAGCTTTTATGGATGTTTTCTTGAATGGGTTGTCTGATGAAATTCTAGATGAAATTGCCACTAGAGAACTTCCGGAAAATTTAGAGGATTTAGTATCCTTCATTTCCAGAATAGATGAACGCATGAGACAGAGGCAGAACACTCGGGAAAGAGTTACTAGACTTCCTGTAAGACTCGCTCCCTCATTTCAGAACCCTGACTCCTATAATCCTACTCCACCAGAACCTATGCAAATAGGTAATACTCGCTTATCTGAGGCTGAGAGACAGTACAGAAGAAGGGAGGGTCTCTGTTTATACTGCGGGCTGAGAGGTCACCTACGTCTCAGTTGCCCTAATCGTCCGGGAAACGCTCGCACCTAAGTTCCCTTAGAGGACGGGCCTTGGGTGTTTCATTACTGTCCTCTATGCATAATAAAAAAGACCATAGGCTTCTGATTCCTGTCTCTCTAGCTTGGGAAAAGGGGTTTATTACTACGATGGCATTATTAGATTCTGGAGCAGCAGAAAGCTTTATAGACCAAACTTTCGCTAATATGCATTGTATCCCATTCCAATTGAGAGATACACCCTTGGCCGTTGAGGCCATAGATGGTAGACCTTTATCTGAACCAGTAATATTCCATGAGACCGAACCCGTTAAGCTTACTGTTGGTATTTTCCACGAAGAGTTGATTTCCCTTCTGTTAATTTCCTCCCCGGCAGTCCCAGTGGTTCTAGGATATTCTTGGCTCAAGAGACACAACCCTCAGATTGACTGGGAGGGTGGAGAAATCGTTTCTTGGGGTATGGGTTGTAGGAAAGAATGTCTGCAGAGAGTTACTTCTGTTTGCCCCGTGAACTCTTATGCTAACACTTCTCAATCCACAGACGTTCAGATACCATTACAATATCTAGACCTCAAATCTGTATTTGACAAGGGTAAGGCGGATACTTTACCTCCCCACCGGTCTTATGACTGTTCTATTAAACTTTTCCCTGGTACTATGCCTCCCAGGGGTACGGTATACCCTCTATCCACCAAGGAAAACTTGGTTTTAGAGGAATATATCAAGGAGAATTTAGACAAGGGATTTATTAGAAAGTCTTCTTCTCCGGCGGGGGCGGGTTTCTTTTTTGTAGAAAAGAAAGACGGTACCTTACGTCCTTGTATAGACTATCGGGGATTGAACAAAATTACTATCAGAAATGCTTACCCTATTCCTTTGATTACTGAACTCTTTGACAGACTAAAGGGGTCGAGTATTTTTACTAAACTTGACTTAAGGGGAGCATATAACTTAGTGCGAATTAAACAAGGAGATGAATGGATGACAGCATTTAATACCCGTTACGGGCATTATGAGTATACCGTAATGCCGTTTGGGCTTTGTAACGCCCCGGCCGTCTTCCAAGACTTGATCAATGAAGTTCTTAGAGAATTCCAACATGAATGTGTAATTGTATATTTGGATGATATACTAATCCATTCTAGAGACATTAATTCACATCATAGACAAGTCAGAAAGGTATTACAGAAACTTTTACAACATGGATTGTATTGCAAATTGGAAAAATGTAGCTTTGACCAGTCTCAGGTAACTTTCTTAGGTTACGTAATTTCCAAAGACGGGTTTATGATGGACCCGACCAAACTAAAATCGATTTTAGATTGGCCCTTACCTAAGGGACTCAAAGCCATACAAAGATTTCTCGGATTTTCTAATTATTACAGACGTTTTATTAAAGGGTACTCCTCTGTTATCGCTCCTATCACTAATATGACCAAACAAGGAGCCGATACCAAAACCTGGTCTACTGAGGCTTTATCTGCTTTCGAAACGCTCAAACAGTCTTTTGCCTCAGCACCTGTATTAGTTCATCCTGATACCTCTCTACCCTTTTTACTTGAAGTTGATGCGTCTGAAACAGGGATAGGCGCAGTGTTATCCCAAAGACAAAGTTTAGATAAGCCGCTGCACCCTTGCGGTTTTTTTTCCAAGAAACTGTCACACACTGAAAGGAGATATGACATTGGTGATAGAGAACTTTTAGCTATCATTATGGCATTAAAGGAATGGAGACATTTGTTAGAGGGCACCGTCCTCCCAGTTACTATCTTGACTGACCACAAAAATTTATCGTATATGGGGGAGGCCAAAAGATTATCTGCCAGGCAGGCACGTTGGTCTATGTTCCTTACACACTTTAATTATGTGCTTACTTACAGGCCTGGTTCTAAGAACACTAAGGCAGACGCTTTGTCACGTCAGCACGAACCTACCACCTCTACAGAGGATACTTTGTTCCCTATTATTCCTGAAGTCAATATTATCGCCAACACCAATGTCAAAATACACTCTCCATTGCTCGCTGATATTCAGAGCGAACAATCTCTTGCTCCCGAACGTACTCCTGTGGGCCGCTTGTTCGTGTCTCCCAAATTCCAAGTGGACATTATTCGCTGTTTCCACGATAGCAAGATCGCTGGTCACCCCGGCATCCACAAAACTTACTGCCTGATCTCAAAAGACTTCTGGTGGCCCGGTTTACGTAGGGATGTGGAAGACTTTGTCAAGGCTTACAATGTTTGTGTCAGGAATAAACTTCCGCGGGATCTCCCTTGTGGTTTATTGCAGCCCTTAGTCGTTCCCAACAAACCTTGGGCTTGCTTGGCTATGGATTTTATTGTTGATCTACCGGCTTCCAATAGGCATACAGTTATACTCACGGTCCTTGACAGGTTTACTAAAATGGCTCATTTCGTTCCCTTGCCTAAACTTCCGTCCTCCCCCGAACTGGCCGTGATATTTGCTAGAGAAATTTTCCGTTTACATGGTATTCCCAATGAGATTGTGTCAGACAGGGGTTCCCAATTTATTTCCCGTTTTTGGAGATCCTTCTGTTCACAGTTGGGCATCAAACTGAATTTTTCTTCGGCCTATCATCCTCAATCTAACGGAGCAGCCGAACGCACTAACCAAAAAATTGAGCAATATCTACGTTGTTTTGTTTCTGAACACCAGGATGACTGGGTCGGTCTGATTCCTTGGGCGGAGTTTGCTCACAACAACCTTGTTTGTGGTTCCACTCATAATAGCCCCTTTTTCTTGAACTATGGCTTTAACCCTACTGTTCTTCCGTCGGTGTCTCCTTCCCAGGGTATACCGTCGGTTGATATTCATATAGCCAACCTGAGAAAGTTGTGGGATCAGACTCGACAAATTCTTGAACGTAGTTCCGCGGTGTTTAAGTCACATGCTGATAGGCGTAGACGTCCTGCTCCTATTTTTTCTCCGGGGGATAGGGTCTGGTTGTGTACCAGACACATTCGCCTGAAAGTTCCTTCCTTGAAGTTTGCTCCTCGTTACATTGGTCCTTACAGGGTACTGAGGAGGATCAACCCGGTTTCTTATTTGCTGGATCTACCTCCTACTCTACGCATCCCTAACTCTTTTCATGTGTCTTTATTGAAACCTCTTGTTTGTAACAGATTTTCCTCCCGCTCTACTCCTCCATCCTCGGTCCGTGTGGATGGTCAGGAGGAATATATCATCAAGTCCATCCTTGATTCTCGTATTTCTAGGGGGAAGCTGCAATACCTCATAGACTGGAAAGGTTA